TAGAAATGTTCTAATAATAATAATAATAATAATAATAATAATAATAGTAGTAGTAGTAATAATAATGACTGCACCACCACCGCCCACACGCTCTTAAACCTGCCTCACAAGTTTCTAGGGACGAATCCCTTCTTTCTGATAAGCAGCAAAAGCTTTAAAGCACCCCCTTCTCTTCGTTGCATCATGATACACAGATGTCCCATTGATCACACGGGGGACTTTTTGGTGGCGACTCCATTTCGGTAGGGCAACATAGTGAGGTTTCAAAGGTGCTTCCACCCAGATGCTGGGCAAAACCCTTTTTATTCTGTCAAGCTTTCAAAATATTTATTTTGTTTAAAAACTTTTCTAGACAGTCCCATTACCAAAGTCTTGGGACGGTTTAACAACAGAAAATGTAAAATAAAAAAATAAAAAACAAAACACAGCATCCTAAAATTCCACTAATAATTAAACCCCAATTAAAACAGTCAGGTCTTGAAACATTGGGAAAAGAAAAATGGTTTTAGCCTGGCACCAAAAAGAATAAAGTGACAGCACCAGGCAAACCTCTCTGGGGAGCAAATTCCACAATTGGGGCGCCACCACAGAGAAGGCCCTTCCCTGGGTAGTCACCCTCCTCATCTTCTTCAGGGAGGGCACCTGGAGAAGGGCGTCTGCCCCAGATCTTAAGGGGCAGGCAGGCACATATGGAAGGAGACGCTCCTTCAGGTATCCAGGACCCAAGCCATTTAGGGCTTTATAGGGCTTCACCCCCAGCACCTTAAATTGGGCCCAGGCTTCAACTGGTAGCCAGTGTAGGTGAAAAAGGACCAGTGTTTATGTTCATACCTGCCGGTCCGGTAACAACCTGGCAGCTCTATTCTGGACCAGTTGAAGTATCCGGATCATCTTCAAGGGCAGCCCCATGTAGAGTGCATTACAGTAGTCCAATTGGGAAGTTACCAGGGCATGGGGCACTGCCATCCAGATAGGGGTGCAGTTGATGGATGAGCCGAAGCTGAAGGAAAGCACTCCTTGCCACCGCCGCCACCTGGGATTCCAGGGACAGCTCCAGGCCGAGGAGCACTCCCAAACTGCACTCCCTGTCCTTTAGGGGGAGTGCAACCCCGTCCAGTACAGGGTTAGAGACACCTACCCAGAAAGTAGGACCTCCCTCTTGTCTCAAAATAGTTGAGGCATTTTAAAATATCCTCTCTCCAGTCCAACATGGAACACTTCTTGGCCTTTGTAAAGACCCAGACCTAGACGGCTGGCACAAGAGCTCATTGCCTGAAGGAACAGACATGATGGTGCCGGTCTCCCTGTTCCCCATACTGGACTTCCACAGTGTTGACTTAGGACTGCCCTTGAAGACTATTCAGAAGCTACAGTTTGCCAGACTAACTGGGACTCGCGCTGAACATGCAAGGCCAAGCTTAGGCCTATCTCTACTGTATGCTTCTAAGCCTAATTCATTGGGCTGGTTTTAACCTATAAAGTCCTACATGGCTTGGGACAGAAATACCGGAGAGACCACCTCTATTGACCTCCAGACACTACAAACTACATCTTGGGCCTTCCCACTTCCAATGAAGACCCAGAGGGAGGCATCAAGAGAGAGGGCCTTCCCAGTTGTGGCCCCCCAAATGATCACATGATCTCCATACTGAGGCTCTCCTGGTGCCAACACTGACATCACTTCAGTGCCAGGTTAAGGACCCTCTGCTCCCAGACATTAATGGCTTATGATGCAGCACGTCCGCTGTTTTAACAGGTCCGGGTTTTGTTGAAATTATTTCAGTTGTTTAAACTGTTTTAAATTTTGCATACTGTACTGGAATGTTGTGCTGCATTTTACTGCACGTGTATTGTCATTATCATCTTTATTATTGTTTATGCATGATCATGAACATGCAGAGGGCCTCAAGCATAGAAAAGAAACTGGTTAATAACAAAATGTATCATTCCCAGCTATAAATTTACCATGCGACTCCATCGCCACCAATGAACTAAGGAATCTGGCAAACAAAATACTTTTTTATTTCTTGAGCTCCAGTGTTTCAACTGTAGCAGCATTTCTGAAATACGATTCTCTGCCTGTTAAATATACATATACATATATATTTATATTTATATACATGTACAATCTTTTTTCAAAATAAAAATAGGTAAATAAAAGGCAATTTTACAACAGCAAATAGAAACTTAAACATTCACTCTTTAAAAATGTGCGTTTGCAGCATACAAAGCAGCAGTGTGTGCGCTTCCACATATACAAAGTTTTATTTGTAAAGAACATTCACACAACATTTGAGCTGCTAGATAGTTTCATTTCTTATGGAGAATTCTAGGCCTGCAAACAGTGCCAACTCAGCATGGCCTTCCAGCAGGAATGGTCACTTGGCAACCTTCCAGATGTTTCAGCCTGTAACTCCCACCAGCTCTAGCCAGTATGTCCCAAGGTGAGGGATAATGGGAATTGTAGGCAATCGTAAAGCAGCCTTCCCCAGCCTGCTGCTTCAGCTCCCAATATTCTCAGCTATTGGCCAAGTTAGCTGGGGCTGCTGGGAGTTTAAGCCCAAAAGAACTGAAGGAGACCAGACTGGGGAAGGCTGTTCTAGAGAACATACCTCAGATCGGCCACCCAACCTTAAGCTTAATGTGCGTTTTCAGCAGGATACACTTTTATTTAAAACAATGAGCACCACATTTATCAGAGTTAACCTGGATTTGCCACCAAGGACTGTCCATCTCCCCTGCAACCCAACTGCTAGGGCCACATCCCATGAACATGCCCAAACAGATACAAAGCAAGGCCCAAGCAAGGAGGAAATGTATTTATGTATGCATTTATTTTTAGATTTCTATCCCACCTTTCTCTTGTTTAAAAAAACTCAAAAAGGCTTACATCATTCTTCTTCTCCTGATCTCATCCCCACAACAACAACCCTGTGAGGTAGGTTGGACTGAGGGTCTGGCCCAAAGTCACCCAGTTGGCTCCATGGCTGAGCGGAGACTAGAACCCAGATCACCTGAGTCCCAGACCCGCACTCTGAACCACTGCACCACACTGTAACTGAAATCCAGGTGGTTCTAAGCAATAAATACACTGAAGGATCCATTCTTGGCTCCAAGCAACACACCTCCTGGCACTCAGCCACCTTATGCAGCATAAGGGTCTTACAGGCCTTTGAGAACACTGTGGAACACCACCTCTTCTCCTTACATCTAGCTCACTTATAGGACAACAGCCCACGTAGAGTTATTGATCTTCATGGACTGCCGGGGGGGGGGGGGCTTTGCCAAGCAGGTGGCAGAAGAGACCCTGGTCCTACCTTGACCCTTCTGCATTTTAGAATCAAACACCCAGTTTCAGTTTCATAGGGCTGTGGGAGAGCTGTGTTTAAAGATACCAATTTGCCCATTCCCATGCAATGTTTGAACAAAGAAATCTAGCCAGCAAGCCATTGAGCTGGGTCATGTTGGGTTCCTCCGGCTGCTGAGTGCACTTGCGGACGTCGGTACAAGCCACAAACAGCACAAGCCCACTTCTCCACCCCAAGCAACTCCAATCATCTTGTGCCTATGTTTTGGAGGAATACCAATCAGGGATGCTACTGGGCTGGATCCCTGATTGGCTAGCTTGAGCTCTTTTCTCTTTTTAGTTCCTCTTACCAACCCAACAAGGGCCCTGAGTCAACTCCAAACTGAGTCTTTCTCTGTGGCAGCTTTTTCCAACTGGACTGGAAGATTGCTCCAGGCATTGCTTTTGTCAGAGGGTTTTGTAGCTGCTCAGGAATGAAACACAGAGTGATGACACATGGATTTGGCATACGTAGCCAGCTGCAGCTCGACTGCAGACCCTTGCAGCACATAACTGTAGTGGAAGACTAACCCTTATCTACTAACGGGTGAACCAACTCTAAGCTGGACAAAGAAACCTGGACTTAGTTCCCAATTCTGTGCACAGTGCACTCAAGGCGGACTTGGGCTTGTGCGTGTCGGAAAACTATTTCTGTCTAAACACCCGCTTCCCAGCAAACTGCTTGTGAAGACAAAAGTTTTAAAAGCAATTTATACATTCTGCTTTCAAAAACAAATATTAGCAAAAAGGGGCTGGGGGTTGTTCAACTGATCCGGGTGGGGGAGAGATCAGCTAGGCATTCCCCACCCACCCCAAAGCTAGGCATGAATCCTGAAAGCATCCCTGACTTGGTCCTGAGTTTTCTAGGATCTATTTCTCATGAAGGTGCTAAACCCATGTCTGGGTTCTGCCCACTTCAGACTCCAGAGGCAGGTTCACTGATCAAATATTAATCCACTTAATAGCTCCTCTGCAAAAAGAACGCTAAACTGTCAGGCTATGAAGCCTTCCTGGCATGCTGGTTGTTCACGTGCAGGGACATTTCTGCATGTTTGACAAATCACTTCTCTGTGGAATAGAAACTGCCTGGAATTCCATCTTCAGGAACAAGGTAGGCTTGAAGGAACAAACCACGTTTGTTCATATGACACCAAAGCAGAAGCATCCTTCCCCTTGGGTTTTCAAATGCTGCAAAGGCCACCTGAACAACATAGAAGACGTTCATTCTAAAACAAAAATCAAAACCAAACCAAACTTCGTGTCTATTTTGAGCTGAACAAGCAACTACCCATGATACATATTTGCACGCACAACGATTTTGTTTCCCCGGCCAAATAATGCAAGTTTACGCACGCTGGCATTCCTGCTTGTAGCCAGCATAGCTTCGGTTATCATGTATTTCAAAAGGAAGGAGCATAGGTATTCCCCAACGAAGTTACTCCATAGTACATTTCAAGAAATGTTGTTGAAATATTTGAGTGGTCTGCCTATGTCCGGTACCTTGCATTTATCTCCGAGTAATCAAAGCCTGCAGTCAGGAAGGAAACATTACACGCAAACCAGTATGCAAAAAACTGCAGCCAACCCGACTGCAGATCTCGAGCAGTACCTTCAGTTTCACAATAATCACTCACTGAGAAGCAATATTTGGAAGGTTCCCATCTCACTGTAAGCTTGGCTTCAGGCTACCCGTCTGTTCGGCTTCTAAAAAAGTCAGGAAATAAGGAACGCATTCTCAAAAATACTTAAGTGGTGACTCACGAAGCATCTTGCAAATTCAAGGGCACACCTCTGCGATCCCACTGGGCCGTCAGAAACAGAATCGTCCCTTTGCCAGGGTCCCTGGACCGTTCTTCCTTTTCCTGAACTTGTGCCTGGCAGATGTGTCCGGCCTGCAATTTGCACTGCTTCATAGGAGACACAGTCCAACATACCTGCCAGGCACTAGTTTGGAGAAGACAGTCCAGATAAGAACACACACAACTGGGGGTGGGAAAAAGCTGTAAAGTTTTCTAATGAAAAAGAAGAAGCAAGAAGTTGTTTGTAAAAAGTTGCCTGATACAGTTTATAGTTTGTTTTTTTAAACAGCCAATTAAATGGTGAACAGCTTTCAGGGAAGGATGCCGTTTTTCAGACTGATTACCCTTCAACTGGCAAACTTGATGACTTTTTACACAATGATAACTCTTTTAAATGGATGCCAAAATATCAGCTACCTGGCTCAATTTTGCAGCCAATCAAGAGAAAGGGTGATTCCAGATGTGGGGGCTTTTGCTTTCATGTTCCAAGGAGCAGCATGAATTAAGCATAACCTGTCATTCTGCCGCAGATATAGTAGGTGGGAAATGGGGTAAAACAAAAGCAGTGAAAAGCTCCAAACCCCCATAACGAGCCACAAGGTTTCTTCTTGTTCCACTCTTCATCACTGGCAGAGATACCTGGAAGCATATTAATCCACGAAGGACAGCACTTAAAGCCATGGGGTTCAAGTTTTTCCTCTTCAAATAGAAAGGCAGCCAGCCGTCCTCCTCCAAATGTTTTGAATGACAACTCGAAACATTCCTGACCACTGGCCGAGCAGGCTGGAACTGACAGGAAGCGAAATCCGAAAGCAACTGGGGGGCTGCGAGGTGGAGCAACCCACAGCAACCAAGCCAGACTAGGGATGGCCTTCCAGCGGTTTCGGACTACAACACCCACCAGCCCCTGCCTCCACAGCCAATAATGAGGTATTAGTGTACTGGGACTCCTACAAAAAGCTGTAGGCTCCCTTCTTTACATCTACTACTTGCAAGCTTATAAAGTATATGCATCCAGACAGACACATTTGAAGAAACAGCCCATTTTGAATGACCTATCATACACTTTTCAGCTTAGGTCAAAGGAGCTTTTTTGGAAAACAGAGCCAAAAAAGCTTCCTCCGCTAGAATTTTCCGTTTTGCAGAAAATGGGTTGCAGCAGGCAAAATGAGACCATCCCAATTTGCAAACTGACTGTTTGGACAAGCAAAACATTTCTGTGAATCCCACAAATGTTTCAGTGCAGTAGACACAGATACCTATTGCAAGTGCTAGCATACACACCAAAAACTACACACCTTCATTTGTGTGAACTACACACACACACACACACACACACACACACACACACACACACACGGCTTTGGAGATGTTTGACTTTACATTCTCCTCTGCTAAGGCTTTTCATTTCCAAGGGTTCATCACTGCACCTCAACAGGCAGCTGCCGTCCCACGTTCTCCTGTCAGTTTTGCCTTGTCTTTTCTTCTACCAGAAGTGATTCAAAGCGAGTTCTCGTACAGAAGTGTAAACTTGATGCCCATCCACGCATACTCTTGCAGCTGTTCATTTTTACACACGTTTGTGCAATAGAATTCGCCGACAAGTCCGGCTCCCAACAGGAGGAGGTGCAAAACTGCAGTCTTTGCCGAAAGTAGTATTTAACTTTTAAATAAGTTAAAAAGCCACAACACCGATACAAAAACTGAGATGCAGTCTGCCTATCTGCCGTGTTGTTGCTTTTAAGTACCTTTAGACTTTTTAAGTGTTCATTCAGAGTGTTAAGATTTAGTAGCAGAAAGAAACTGGCTGATTTTCTGGGACACGGCCACTGATCCTGACATGCTAAAAGGAAAAAGACTCGGGTAAGGCTCTCAGACTCTCAGAATTTCAGAGCCTTAAGTCCCTTTAGCATGTCTTCAAGTTGGATGCTGAAAGAGCTACTAAGGACTTTGGGGGAAAGAGAGGGGAAAACGCACGACAGCCTCTCCCTGCATGGGGCTTCCAGATGAGACTTTCGTCAAGCCATCCGCCTGCCTCCACTTTGGGGTTGGAGGCAGGGGATGAAAATGGAAACACTGCTTAATGCATCTCAGCCGCCAGCACTATCAGTCTGGAAGCCCCCAATGCCAGGGGCAACAGGCTGGGATTAAAGCAATTCTGGTTTAGGCAGAATACTGGTGCTTTTCACAATTTGGTGCAATCCTATGGAAGTTTAGGCCCTTTTTCTAATCTAAACATGCATAGGATTGTGTCTTCAAGACAGAAACACACGCACCCAGCTGTAACTCTTTGAAAACCACTTGATGCATCTATATAGAAAAATAAAGGATAAACATTATCCATCTATTTATAGCACATAACTTTTCTCTCTATAAAACTTCATTTGGCTAAAAAAGGGTGTCTACTTTTATATTTTCAAGATGCATGGGAAAATCCAATCCACAAGAATTCTCTCCCCATGCAATAAAAAAGCACATCCAGGGAAGCTCACTCTGCCAATCCGGTAAAGAAACAAGTACACCCTTGCTTAAAAATTCCTATCACAGTTATCAACTCCATAGGAAACAAACAACTATAAATCCTTTCTTAAAATAAGAGTCCTTGAACGATTTGGTTTAAGAGGAGGAGGACAGGCAAAGATTCCTCCCGCATCTCAAAACACAGATATACGCACACCGAGAACCCGGTTGTGAATCAGCCAGAAAATTTATGTCACAGGCACGGAGCAGGAGGTGCCCCAGAGCTTACGATGGGCCAGTGCCATATACCAGCTTTGTCAGCATGGCGTTCCTTTCTCCAGCTCACGCTTTGTAAGTACATACTTGAAAAATTCATACACAGACCAGGCAATGGCAGTGGAAGGCATCTGGTAAATCACACGTGCCTGAACCCCCTTAAAATACCCAGCAATGCCGCCGAGTTGGTACACCGTCCGAAAGGCATTGGCCATTCCCGAGAGATGCCCACTGATGTTCACCGAACTCAAGACCATGTTCTCCTGAGTGTTGAGGAGGGTCTTGCAGACGTCCAGAGGTGTCGTGGCAGCCGCAGCCACGGCCCCCGCCACGGCGCCCGAAACAATGTGCGTGAGAGGGTTGTACTGCCGAAGGGGGTTCATCTGCTCCTGCGTGAACTCGTAGGTGATGAAGTGGATGGCCTGGAAAGGGACGTTCATGGTGAGCTGCGTGGTGTAGCTCCGGTAGAAGGCTCCCAAGCCTTCGGTCCGCCAAACCGTCCCGACGCACTCCAAGACACCCTTGTACGGAGAGTTGAACATCTGCATGCGCTGCTTTACCACTGGCTCCCAGCAGGGGAATTGCAGGCAGTGACGTCCATTGGGCACATCCGGGGCCACGGGCGGGCAGGAGCAGCAGAGAAAGAACAGAAAGAAAAGCCACCTTAGCTCCAAGCCTTACAGGTTGGTAGAGTAACCCAGTTCCAGGAAGAGGACAGTGATGGAGATTCACTCGGCGGTTCTCAGGCAATGGCAGGAGTGATCCCACGGCTCCGAGCCGTTACCTCGGTGGCCATGGGAAGACCCGAATTCCCAGCCCCAAGGTCAGCAGCAGCACTCTGACTCGGACCTAGGAGAGGAAGCGCTGACCCCCACTCCCCACTCCTCACAGCCAGCACTGAAAGAACCGCACCAGCTGCTGAGATCAGGAAAGCAGCTTCAGGGAAGTGTTAAAGGGAGCAGCAAGGAGAGGAAACGGGGGCAGCCAGGGCGCAAGGTATGAAGCTGCCCCGGCCTCCGGAAGGCGGGCTCCCGCTGGACTCAGGAAGAACCTCCCCCTGCTGGAGCACTGTGGCAATGGAACCTGTGACCCAGGGAGGCAGCGGCTCTCCCACACCGGAGGGGTGCTAGATGCTGCCGGAGAGCCGTCGGAGAAGGACGCTTTAACTTGGAGTCCTGCCCTGAGCAGGAGGTTGGACCCCATGGCCTTCGCAGCCCCTTCCGACTCCACTGTTCCGCGATTCCTTCCCTCTCTTTCCAAGACGCCCCAACTAGATATAGAAAATAGCCTGTCATGTGAAATGCAGAGAGGCAGAAAATGCCTCCACCACTTTTCTTGCTTTGCAGAGATTGCCCACAAGCGTCCAAGTTCAGGGACTTCAGGGCATCCCAGCAGGAGTGGGCCTGAGATGGATCGCTCCATGAACTCCACATGGAGGTAAGCAGCATTTTTGAAAGAAACAACCTGCTTCCACATCTGAAGGCCATTTATGAGGTGAGAGAGGAGGACGGACACTTCGGCACATGTGCTCATTCCCGGAAGCTTTCCTACGGGCTCTTCACTTTTGTTTCTTTTCTGTAAGCCAGTTGCCTAGTTGTTGGGGACAATTTTTAATCAGTTGATATAGTTGGCCAAGCCTCACGACTGACACCATTTTAAACAAGGCCAACATCTGCTTGGTAATTATTAGCAGCACTTTTCATGATTTGCAGGACCATGGCCCCAGCGTTGCCCACAAGGGGTCCTGGATTCAGTGCACAAGGTCTCTTGTGCACCCCACAAGAGTGGCTGCCAGGCAACGTGTGCCTGGAGAACAGGACCTCAGCCCTGGGGTGCCGAAGCACATCTGCCCCCCCAGGGTCCCCGTTCAGCCCTCCACTTTTCCTCCAGATACCCCCTTTGTCTACAGCCCCCCCACCACGGAAATGTGGCCCCAGTGCTTCTCTGAAGCTGCATTTGGCCCTCAGACTCAAGAAAGCTCCCCACCCCTGGTGCTGAGCAGGGCAGACCAATGATACGATCCAGTGTAAACTGAGTTTCTGACATCCTCCCATCCACTCTATGCAGGTAATACAGGTCCTGTAGGAATTATCTCGCCAACACAGAGCAAAGCATCAGGATGGCTTTATTCTCCCTTCCGCTTGCAATCCCCCTGGAGCTGGGGTCCCCATTGTACCCCAAGACCTCTCCCTTGATGCCCGCCAGGTTTGCTGCTGCTCCTGGTTCTCTTCTCTCTAAAGGAGTTCTTTATTTTGCATTTAAAACATTCAACACAGAGGCTGGCCTCCTGTGAAGCCGAGTGCTAGGCTCCAGGGGAGGGGTTTTAATGAGTTTGGGATCCTGGTAACCCACCTTCTTTAAGTCAGGTCCCTGGGCGAATCGCACAATGGCAGCCAGAATGGACAAGCACGCACAGGGTAGCCATCTTGTGACAGAGCCCCCCCACAGCCAGTATTCTAATTGTGCCCACCAGCCCCCAGACAGGTCGGGGACCCCTGCCCTGGCCTGTTCATGCCGAGACGGCATTACCTTCCGCGGGATTCATGACGCCGTCGTGCAACAGCGTGGCCAAGCTGCCAGCCATCCCTGCAAAGAGAGAAAGAGGGGGAGGGAGAGAGTCCACTTTCACAAAGCAATCCACAGACCGTCTCTAATTCATGGGCTCGACAAATGGAGCACCTGATGGACGACAGAAATCCCCTCCTTGCTGGTACGGTATCAGCAGCCGCCTTTCCCAGCACCCTCAAGCTTCGCTGGATTACAACTCCCAGAATCTCCCAGCCAAGGTCCTCCGATGCAGCTCGAGGGCACCCGGTTGAGGAGCGCTTATCCGCAGGGTTTGCACAATAAGAGCCCACAATTGCTCACAGGTCATGCTGGGAGTATTAAAGCAGCCACTATTTCAAGCAGTGCATCCATGAAAGCATGACTCCCTGGGGCCGAGCTCTTATTTTGCTTGGTAAACAAAAGAGGACCCTGTTGTTTTCCTGCAAAGCTGCTGCTGAATCAAAGAACCAAACCCCTTCTTCCCCTTTTATTTTTTGATGCAGTAATAGCCTCTGCCAGCGCAGCAGCACACAAAATAGCACAGAACTAGAAAGCAGTCGCCCGGGGGCTGCTTCCCCAGGAAGGTCTGGGTTTGTCTTATTCCAGACTTCTCAGCAAAGCTGCACTGATGACATGAAGGCTTAATGCAAGTTAATAAAACCTCAGATGGTTGTCCATCTGGGCAAGAGACAGCTAGCGGTAGGGAAAGGGCCTGCAACTCAGCATCAGCAGAGATGGCTTGCATGCCCAAGTCCAAGCTTTATCACATACCCTCTCCAGCTTTCCCACTTACTGATTTTAACATGCAGAGCTAGGGAAGGCGCCTGTCCAAATCTCCCTAGAGCACTGCAGTCAAGCTGGACAATACGTGGTTTCATAGAGCCAGTTTTCCAGGCCTGAATTAAGATTTGCATTTCAACACAGGCTGCATATGTCTGCGCTACAAGGAAGCACAGTCAGCTTTGCCATGAGACATCCACCCATTTTGGATGTGGGACGGACAAACCGTTTGCTTTCTCTCATTTGGCCATCCTTAAATTTGGTTCAACCTGAACTTTGAGAAGTTCTTTTTTAAGGCTTGGCAAAAAAAAAAAATCATAAATGCATGCATTTTGTACATAATTCTGCCCAGGATGAATGTTTTTGCAAGCGCTTTTCCAAACAGAACAAATTTCAAATATTATTTGCATTAAACTTTTTCCTTTTCATGGGCTTTACACATTCTAGTCCTTGCCAACTTCTACTGCAAAACTCAGGAAAGTATGCATTGAGAAAGTTAACAGAATTCAGATTTACAGATTAGTTCAAAGGGCAAAATTATGCAGGTTAACTTAAAAAGGTAACCTAAATGAATTCTCATCTTCCATCTGTAACAACAAGGAGCTGCAACTAATCCTGGCTCCCAGGTAATTATTCCTTTTGTAAGAGTCACAGCACTGGGGTTCACTGCACAAAAACGTGTGAAGCAGCCAAGAAGCAAGCTTCCAAGAACAGTATCTGGAACCCCATTCTACCTTGCGCCAGGCTTGCTGCTCAAAGCTTTGCCAACCATTGATGATGCCAGTTACTAGATACCATTCTCAAAAAAAGATGCAAGATGTCTCACAACAGCAAAAGAAAAAATTAAACCACTGAAACCCAGAAGATCAATATTTACTGCAAGGGTGCCCACCACCCCCTCAGCCACGTACACGTAGAAAAACTGGGTGATTAAAGAATGAACACTGTGCTTAGCCTAGTTAAGAAGCAAAAAAATCTCATCTGTGCACCTTTAAATCCAACTGACCAGGGAATAAGATTAAACCTTCCCTACCTCACTAATTCAACAGACTTCTAATCATTTACCACATTGCTATTAGAAAAGCTACACAGATGCATCATTGGAAGAGATGCCAGGTCTAAAATTATCCTTGTCCAGGCAGATAAAATCAGAAGAGTGCAGTAACGGCAGGAGAACGAGCCATTCCTTCCCTTTTCGAGGTCAGGGATGAGAGCCCTTCCTTGGAGAATGGCATTGTCCACACACAAGAGGGCGTTTCATTTGGGGGAACCCAAAGGTTTGCGCCCCCTAACCAGTCTGGGGAACAGGGCTTCAAACTGGCATTCTCTGGGCAAGCAAAAAGGCCTAACTCACCTCTTCCAGCAGCAGCCCTGTCCTGCCACGGGTGCCTGGCCACCGGGGGACGTACAAAGAGCTTCCAAATGTACACACAAAAGCCCAACATGGAGCTTTGGACTGCATCTCGCATCACCCTGATCGTTAGCTATGTTGACCGAGGCTGGTGGGAGCTCAAGTCCAAAACAACTAGAGCAGAGCAAGTGGAAGGGAGAATAAAGGACCAGATGTGGCCCTCCTAGGTGGTCCCCAGATGCCACCCCCGCTTCCCAAACCCCATGCCTTCCCCCCAGCCACCAATTGTTTGGTGAATTCCCAGCTTCTGTGCAGTCTTCCCCTGCTTCTTAAAGGTAGAAATGTCTCTTGTAAAGATTAGATGCAGGAGCAAGAGCTCTGAGCTAGAATATGCAGGCATTTGGGTATCTGGGTGCCTGCCCATGGTCCACTACCGGAATGCAGTCTGCTAAGCATCTCCAGAATGGAATTTGGCTGAAGAGGAGCTCAGCACCATGATCTAGAGGTCCAAACTGGGAATGGCTACCCTTCTTTGCATGGTGGTGATGGGTCAACCAGATGGCCCTAGCCCAAGAGTCCCCTTGTGGGCTGGAGGACACAACTCCACTGGGCGTCTACACAAAGAGAACTACTGTACATAAGACCGCAAATGATTTTCCTACTGGAAAAACAACCCTGTGGTGTATAGATCATTCCAATGGGATTGAGTCGCTCAAAGGCAGCTTGCAACAGAACATAAAAACTCCAGCAGCATATAAAGGTCAGGTACGGGTTGGGTCTTCCATCTCAAGCACTGGGAAGGAGCCATAAAACAGGCACAGGGCAGAGTCTTTGCAAACCAAAGTTTACAAAATGCAGACAAAAGGAAGTTTGACTGGGGAGATGCGGCTTTTGGGCAATTCTTTCCATCACTGTTCTGCAGATATTGAGCTTCAGCTGTGTGTGGTATACAAATGTAATCATAATATCAGGGATCCTTCATTGCGTCACCTGCTCACTAATGGAACTGGACTACTTTTACAGATGTAGAAGAATTTTGTTCCATCTGCACAAGCGAAGATTAAGGTCAATGTGCATCTGTGCAAGCGTGCATTTATCCAAATCCCCACCCCACTAAACCATTCAAAAATGAGAAAAACCACTGAAGTCCACAGAATCCACACAGCTTGGGAGAAGTCAGTCCGCTGCAGAATCTGCAGGTCAGAATCACAGAAATACCAGCTCAGTTGAATCTATGAAGTTCTTCCACATACCTAAGTTCAACTACTGGAGTTCCATGTGTGGTTGGAAAGATAGGGTCAAGCCCTCACAAGGAAGGCAGGCTTGTACAAGGGGGTTGCTTCAAAATAAGCCAGGGCGACTTATTTTATATTGTTATCTTTTGTATTTTAATTTATGTTGTGAGCCGCCCCGAGGCTTTGGCAAATGGGGCGACATAGAAATGTTTTAATAAATAAAAATAAAATAAATAAAAAAATATAATGCTGGGGGACACAACTCACTCTATGCTCTTAACAGCTAGCACAGAAGACATGTACAATCCATCTGAGCATCTCTTCCAACACATGAACCCTGCGAAGAATAACATTCCCTACTGGCACGCCAATTTCAACAGATGAACTTGCAATCAGGAGAATGAACAAACAGATGCGGAATTTACTCTCTACGGTGGGATCCACTTGTGGACCATACAGAGCTGGAGACTCGTGGCTTCAGGTGAAGGCTTCAGGAATTCCAGGCAACAGTGAGATGCCTACAACCACCATGCAAAGCAGGAGGCGGTTCTGAATCCACTTTTCACATCACAGCAGGCAGCGATGCGGGGCATTCAGCCCAAGGACTTAATTTCATTTCAGAAAATCCCTTGGGAACAGCCTTCCAGTAGTGCGTGATGCCAAGGGCCAAAATAGCACCAGTGTGTTTTTGCTTAATCTTCTTACTGCCAAAAGCCAAATGCTTTTTTTATTGCTCAAACACCAACTTTTGGCAGAAAGGCAGGTTATGAATTATACATTAAACAGGTAAATCAGTAGGTGATATGGAGAAGGCCAGCATGGGCTGCTAGCCCTGTTAGATATTAGCTCCCATATCAGAGCTAAAAGGCCAATGTTCTCCAGTTGCTGGGGAACATGGATGGGAGGGTGCTGTTACACTCATGCCCAGTTTGTACATTTCCTGGGCACCATGTGAACAGAACACGGGACCAAATGGGTGCTGGACTAACCCAGTACAGCTCTTCTTATGTTCCTGAGGGTCATTTCAACCTTTCAGAATGGGAAAAAGCCTTGCAAAAACTGGGAAAACACCAAATGACTGGGAGAGGAAGGGAGAGGAAGTAGGAGAGGAAGTAGGAAGCACCTGGTGATGAGGAAGAGGAGAGCAGAGATCAGGGGAAACCTGCAGGGCCGGCATGGACCCCCCGCGTTATAGTCTTGCATAACAACTAGGAAGCCTCTATTCACACTAACAAACGAGGGCAATTTTGCTTTTAGGGATGAGATTACAGGAACTTCAGTTTAACATATTTGCCAACTGCATCAGACATTTAAGGTGTGAGATGTACACTTCTTATGTGCAGATATTTTACTACTATCTCAGCCTCCAGAGCCCTTGGAGAAAATCTCCTGTTCATTCCAACATCCAAGTACATGTACCTATGATGCAACGGCTGAAAAAAATTGAGACAAAAGAAGCGAAAAGGAGAGCAAACTCCTTCCTCCTCAAAACATACAGAGGTGAACCTCAGAAGATGCCAAAGGAAAATGAATTCTTTATTTGTGCTCTTTATTTCTTACTCGCTTGAATGTATGCCAAGTGCAGACTCCCCAAGTGGTGAAAGAAATGCAGGAAGCATGAATCAAATCTATCCAAATGGGCCATTCTATAAACAAAAGCTTCCTCCCATCCACAGAAGGTACCAGGATTTGGTGAAAGAAGCGAACACAAAAGGTGAATCTTTTCTGATTCCCTTTCAGCCCATTCCTACACCATTCTGAAGGCTGCCCTGCCCCAGAGAAGCTTTCCAAGAGGCCCGGGGGGCACAGGGGAAGGACAGACTGCAAACATTGCCTCCTCAACCCTTTCTTCCAGCACCAACAGAACTTTGCTAAGTTCTACTCCAGGTCAATCTAGACAGCATAGTAAAAAGCAGAGGCATCACCCTGCCAACAAAAGTGCATATAGTCAAGGCTATGGTTTTCCCAGTTGCAGTGTATGGCTGTGAAAGCTGGACCACAAGGAAGGCTGAGCGCCAAAGGATTGAGGCCTTTGAATTGTGGTGCTGGAGGAGACTCCTGCGAGTCCCTTGGACCGCAAGGCGATCAAACCGGTCAGTCCTAGAGGAGATCAACCCTGACTGCTCTTTAGAAGGCCAGATCCTGAAGATGAAACTCAAATACTTTGGCCACCTAATGAGAAGGAAGGACTCCCTGGAGAAGAGCCTAATGCTGGGAACAATAGATGGCAAAAGAAGGAGGGGACGGCAGAGAATGAGGTGGCTGGATGGAGTCACTGAAGCAGTTGGTGTGAGCTTGGGTGGACTCCGGGGGATGGTGGAGGACAGGAGGGCCTGGAGGAATGTTGTCCATGGGGTAGCGATGGGTCCGATGCGACTTCACGACTAACAACAACCCCAGATCAAACTAGATTAAATGATGTGCATCCAGGACATGCTATTTACACATCCTCCAGCAGGCTGCCCAGGGGGAGATGAAGCGAAAGTGCAGCCATGGGGCAGTACATCATTTTAGGTTCAGGTTAAGGCCTTCTTTTTGTTCTCCTGTTCAGGAGGCCTTTAACAAGTACATGAAACTTCCTTTAAAAATTAGGAATATTCACAGAATGACATCATGCATATGTTGATATACAAAGAGCAATGTTGTCCCCCCTCCCATTAAAAAAAAGTATTCAAAATGCTGCCTCAGTCTTGGAATATCTAACAACTAACACTTCATACAGAACATTAAAATGGCTGCTTCTCTTTCAAATTTAGTGGATGTGTTAACCAAGTTCATATAGCAGGAAGTTAGCACCCTGTAAGAAGCTGGAGTGCAAATAAAATTTTATCACCTTTTGAGGTTCCCCATCCTTGTTCTTAGGGGCTGTGAGAAGTTCCAGATACGAAGTGATACAGGCCAGAACTAGCTTTTGACCAGATTTCCCTGCCTCTGCCATGATAGGGCACTTTGATCTCCAAATAAACCTGAGATCTGTGTCTGCTGGAACAGCAAGAGGACCTGCTTTGCACTGTTTTTGTTAATGACATATTAAAATAATTGAAAGGCATTTCTTCTTTTGTGCGATCCAGCACAATACCACATGTTGATGTCATACACATTGAGAGTTTGCACCCGAGAACATCTAGCCCGAGAGGATGAACCCTTTCAGTTGGCAATTAATTTCACGCGTAATTATGGAAAGCTGCCAAATCTCTGAGCTGTTGATTTGGAGATGGGATAACTGCTTTGAACAGACACTGATACAGGATTGCAAGGGCGAGAAGATCAACGGGGCCGCTGAATGGAACATTCAGTTCTAGAGCCACAGACCTAGAAATGCCAGATACCAGAAACACACATTTGTAACACATTCAGTGGTGTCTGGTTGGCTGCTATTGGAAAGGAAAAAGCTGGGCTAGAAGGACCACGCTGTGATCTAGCCAGCCTGTACTTACATCATTAAGAGAACAGCCAAATTTGGTAAGATAATGCACTAGGAAATCCAACAGAAAGCAAGCCACTAACTCTAAGAACCAAAAATTTCCCGTGCTAGTGTGTTGCATGGTTTCAGAGCATCTCTCCCCCAGTGCCCCCCATCAAGTGCTTTTCGACATCTGACTTTGAGAGGATCTGGAACACTACGTATCTTCTGCGTTCTTCACACAGGTGCGTCTAACATTGTGGGTGCCTGTGGGGAATAGACAACAGGTTGAGTGAAGCAAGAGAGACTAGGATGCCACAGACAGGTCCTCCCAGCGTCTTCCTCTCCGGGGGCAGAAATGCAGGCGGAAGATGCCAGGAACAGAGAAGAGAGAAAAAGTACACAACTTGAGCCAAGGGGCCGGAAGACACCCTGGTAGGTTACGTCAATATACCATTGGCCAGGTGGCTGTTCCCTCTGTGGTGAAGAATGTCACTAAAAGTGCGTTTCATTTTTTCGTAGCAGGCAAAGTACAGTGCGTGAGCTGGGCCGGCCCCAATCACAGTCACATTGATTCCTCGTAAGGGTCGCCAGAAGCCTTCGGTGCGGACAATCCTTGTCAAGGCCTCAAACACACTCCTGTACTGGGCTTTGGGGTCAGGCTGCAAACTCTGCATCCGGGTCTGTAACGAAAGAAGCAAGCGGGAGTCAGGAGGAGGAGAACTCCAGTGGGCCCCGTTCCCGGGACCAGCCTTGCCATTAGAGCAGTGTGCCAATTCAGTTGGGCTCAACCTGGTCGCAGAGATATTCTTGGTGACTACGGTCCAGTGGTGATCAGGGCCCAAAGCAAAGGAGGTAGCGGTTCAAATACCGAAACGCCAGCATTTTTTCACTGAGAGCTGTCACTGCCCATTCCTAAGCTTCAGGCCAGGCATTTCACCCTCTCTGAATGTGGGAAAACTCATGCAAATGCTGGAAAACCACCCATGATCAGACATCAAGCGAACGCGAGGGGGAGCCAAGCTTTCTGCCTCAGTATCTCTGATGGCTTTGGCGACGGTGCACCTCACCTTGGCCTAGGGGGGTAGGGACAGGTGTCATTGTCTGCTCTGCCTCCAACGGCAGGATGTTCTGGGCCAGCCCTGCCACCCAACCTTGGACCTTCTTCAACTCCCAAGGTGAACGTGGGGTTCCTGGTTCACTTGCAGAACGTCCTACTGCCCATCTATAAGCCCACTGCCCAATACCAAGCTGCCTTTCCCTGAGACAGGGCACGGCTTCCTTGAGTCCCTACTCAGACTAGCAGCGACTCACAGCTGGAGGCCAGCGGAAGCCTCTGATGAAGCATCTGCTCTGCAGGCCCAGGTCAAGACTCAGAACCTCCCATTGCAATGGACAACTTCTGCTGGGGCCCCTACGGCAGCTTTCTCCAACCCCCCCCCCAATCTGGAGCATGTTCTCCAGATGCTGCGGACCTCAAAAATCCCATCGGCCCAGCCGACATGACCAACTGTGCAGAGCACCTGGTGGGCATAAGTTTAAGGAAGGTTTCTAACACAGAGCTGGGAGGTATAATCAGCTTTCCAGGTCTTCCCTGGCCCTATCTGTTTTGACTGGCTAGGCTGAGGATTAAACCAGGGGCCTTCCAAGCAAAGCCAAGGGAGATACGGTCTTCTGCAGTCAGATCTCTGACCCACCTGGCCTCCAGCCAGAGCCTCTGTGGTCCTTCTTGGCCTCTGGCTTCAGAATACATCTGGCAGCCTCACAATGGAAGGCAATGCTCCAAAGCATTACTTCCATGGCAGAGCACTTCCCTGGCAGCTTATTTTAAAAAAGAAGCCAAGCTTTAGGCTCACACTTCCAGGAATAAGCCAGCAGGGGGGGCAACAAGTCAGCCAAACACAGCAGCATTCGTTTCCCAGCCAAACCCACCGAGAAGGGTTGCGGGGAATTTCATCAGCTTATTTTTTTCATGTATTATATTGGGATGCTGCCTTTTTTTCCAGCAAGAAGCCCCCATGTGGGTTGCATAATCCTCCTCTCCATTTTGCCATCACAAGAACCCCGTGAGAGAGGTTGGGCTGAGAGTCAACGGCAGGGCCAAAATCACCCAGGGAGCTTCATGGCCGAGGGAGGACCGGACGGCAGCTGCTGCTGCGCGATGGCCGAATTCACAACGGCACCAAATTATTCAGCACAATTAAGAAGACTATAAAGTTGTCCACCAGGTCACTCCTAACTAGCCAAACAGGCAGCCTGCAAAGTAAAAGGTCAGCAGTGCATACTGAGACAATATATCAATGCAACTAGCTCAGGTCACCCCAGAAAGGGGGTCTTGGGGTAAGCAGTGAAATCTCAACAAAAACTCAATCAGGACAGCATACACTGAAAGGGAGAATTAAGAAGAAACAATGGAAAATTCACTGTCATGTTATTATAATTACATTTATATTCCACCCTTTCCCCTTTTGCAAGTAACCCAGTGCACCTTACAAGTTCCTCTTCCTTTTACCTTCACAATAACATGGTGAGTAGGGATGCCAAAACCAGGTCAGGATCCAGCACACTCTCCAAACGTCTTTCCTGCACTTGGTCCCACCCAGGACGCAAGCAGAGCTGAGACTGAGGCCATGAACGCCCCTGGCAGAAACTTTCTGCAAGTCATGTGTGCAAAGCAGAACTCTGCTTGAACCCGTGTCTTGCCGGATGTACTCACAAATGCTCCAAGTGAGGTGGACAGAAGGGACAGAGAAAGTGGCTTGGGGAGCTGAGCTGAGGAAATCCCTCCAGGCTGAGTTTCTCACACTTTCCTAACTCTGAGGTAGGCTAGGCTGAGTCTGAAATTATTTTCTATTTGCTATAAATCAAATAGAGACAACGGGAGAGAAACAGAGGGTTTGTGCAACTAGTCCTCTATTCAATGTACAAGATATTTAGCCATACATATAGAGAACCCAATTGCATGTTAACGTTCATAATTCAAAATGTGATCCTTTGATTTGCTAGGCCAAGCAACTGAGCGTGTAAATCCAATGCATCTTTCAACAGAAAAAAGGGACTACGAAGTCAGAAAAGTGCTCCAACCTTGAAGCTGGGTCGCCACGTCGCATCCCCCGCCCCTCCATAGCCAGTGCCAATAGTGCCAGGAGTTGGGGGCAACTCAGAAGAAAGCGAGGCAAGCGGTGTGGTCCAGACACGACATTTCCTGGCCAGCACTCGGCCTCTTTCCTCCCTGCTTCAAAGTGCCTCTGCTAGACAGCCGAATTTCTCTGCAGGAGACACATAATCCTCGGAGCTAGAGAGTAATGCCCATCCCAACTGGATTGTGACCTAAGTCCTCAGAAGCAGTCATTGCAGAGGTCTTGAAGTCAGACATTGCAAGGAGAGAGCAGACAGCCGTACCGGAAGCTGGGCTAAAGGGACGCTTCACCTTACCCAGCAAGGTTTCAACTTATTATCCAACCTCTTTTCCACCAAGATAGATGACTCAGTTCACTGAAAGCCTCTCCCCAAACCTCCTCCTTTTCTTCTCTTCACCAGGCAGTTCTCCACTTCAGAACTTCTTCCACGACCACGAGACAGACTGACATGTGCTTTCTTCATTCGAAAGAGCTGGCATTCATTTTACAGCTGCCATTAGACTCCACTGACCACTTACTTTAAGTAAGTAAGAAGAGGCACTCGGGAGTATCCAGAAAAGCCCACATGACTGCCTCGCGGACTTGCTGTTGACTTCTAAAATACTCCAGCCACACTGGCAGTGTCCACTGGCATTCCCAGGACAGCTTAAATGCAGAATAAAAAACCCCGATTGCATCTCCATCCGCATCCACATGTGCGCAACTACAAACAGCACAGAAGAGACGTGACCACCTTGTCCCGCATTAGCACAGCAGGGTCCAAAGTCGCCTCGGCTGAATTGCCACAGTGCAGTTTTATTTTTTCAGTCGGGGTGCATAACATCAGGTCTGGGGCCAAGCCTGGCCTTCGAGGGTTCCCCAGCCATGCCCGTTCCCCTAACCACAGATCGTTTCCTACCTGTAGTGCCATTTTTCCTGCATTCTACAAAGGTTTTGATGCCATCCCTAAGGCTTAGCTAATGGGGGTAGAGTGTTACGCCACAATATGCATGTATTTCTCGAATTTTTATTATTTATTATTTAAAGTTTTTACATGCCATCCGATATTAAAGTCTCTGGACTGCTTACAAAAAAAAAACAAAACAATACACAACAAACATACAACACACTGCACCCATAAATAATACAGATACAACGATTAACTGTTAAAATATTGGGAAGATAAAAAGGAGTGGTACTATTTTAGCACCACTCCTATTGCCTCCGGTTCTACCCCCAGTGCCTTTTGGCATGGCCACAAGCCGTGCTGGCTGGGAGCAGCAAGAGCTGTGCAGAGCCTCCTGGGACCAGTATATTCTGGGATCCCAGTTCAAGCTGGAAAACTCTGCCCAGGGGGACTGGACATGTCCCAACGGCCTCATGCCAACTTGAGTAATGCAGAGGACTGTAATTCTGCACATACGCTTGTTAACTGCCACTTCCGATCTCATAATACATGTCTGAAAACGCACTGTGCTGGAAATTTCCACTCCCAGGTCTTAGGAGAGGTAATAAAGAGCCGGTGCGCTTCTCGAGACATAAAGTTTGGCTAAGGCATCTGCTGTCCCTCCGGAGAAACCAAGTACCCCACACTTCCACCTTCTGTTCTGAGCAGCAGGTGATGCTTCCTTAAGCGGGTGCATAGCAGCCTTCCAGGCTGCTTCTGCCAGCTCAGATCTGGGCTGCTTCACCTGCCCTGAAATCCAAGTGTGGGCCCAGCAAGTTGACTCAAGCCCAAGCAACGCAATTGACCCAGCTCCTCTCAAGAGCTGCATTCCGATTCAGAATGCAAAACCACTCCAAAGCAGAGCACCTCCTTATAATCTCAGGCCCAGCTGAAGCAAGGGGACTTCTTCCCCTCCCCTTATCTCCGCCCCACCTCTGCCTTGACCCCCCTTAATGTTTCACTAAGTAGAACAGCTCCATGCAAATCCAGGAGAGCTTACCCACTCAAGAATAGCAAATCCCACTTCCAGCATAATGTGCTATTTTAAAAGAATAAAAGGTATGCAAATCTAATCCCAGAAGATTGCCTGATTTGCTGCAAATCCCAGAAAATGCAGCAAAGGAATTATGACAGATAAACAGCAATTTGTCGGATGCCAAAACACAAAACCTTGCAATCGGCAAGCAAAGACAATTGGGAAATAGCGTGCAGGTGTATTTTAAACACCAAAGCAAAGGAGGGCCACTTGCAGGCCCCAGGTGCTTAGGACTACGACTCCCATCAGTGCGCTCCATCACAGCACCATCTGCTACTCTGGTCCCTTAGTTTCTAAATGGCTGGCCTTTTTCTACATCAGAAGGGCTGCCTAGCGGAGACTCACCTACTTTGTGCACTTCAGGATGGAGAAAACAAAACAAAACAAATAGTCTCCTTCCCTTGCTCAAGTTTCTAGACCTCATGGTAGTGATAGTGGGGAGCCTGAACACACAAAGGCCATGTATAGAAAATGCTGTAAGAACTAACACCAGTATTTAGTGAGTATTGTCTTTTGTTGTTAAACTACACCACTAACAGTGCTGAATATATAAATGCTAATATAATTAATATATAAAGTTCT